CCACCAATGGCAGTGCAGTTTACTGGTAATGTGTCTCCGTCTGTATCTCCTGACCACTATATACTGTACTACCAAATGGTGGAAGTTCTGGTCACGTGATCCGAAAGTTTAAATACTATTATCAAGTAAATCTATAAAAAATTAAAAGTTATTTAATTCAAATAATAATTGAAGCAACCATAAGTTACAATTAGGCTCATCTGGAATATCTAATATTCAGATTGGTTGCGCATTTGCTGAATATGAGAGCTGTTTAAACCTATTATTTCTATATACAATTGTATATATATATGTATTTTCGTATAAATTTGACACAGTTTTATATCAATTTCTCGAGACCAGGAACACAATATAGAACTTAATTGGGTCGGGAATAAGTCCTAAAATGGGTAGGGTTCAGCCTATACCCCCTTTCATTTTTCCTTTACAGTCCCTTTAAACCTTTGACTGATCAAGGATGTCTTACATGTCCTTATTAATCATGACGAAATGTTATTTTAAAGAAAGAACAGAATGTTGAGGATTTAAATATTTGTGAGCAATCCTTTAACGATATGTCCATAAACTCTCACAAAATGTTAGCTATTACGAAATGCTTTCTGTTAGATATTACGAAAATGTGGGTTTTTTTAACAGTAATATGTCAATCAAAACATGCCTCAAACTTTCCGTTTGGTGAACGTTTAGACGATGTAACTACGTTTAGTGGTTGTTATGCGAGAACGGGTATATACTGCAACTAGTGAGGAGCCCTTAGTTCCCTATAAACTTTTAGTAGATGTAGATTGTACATACTATACACTCCTAGCAATTTTATGTACATAGTATTACAACTTCTATTATATGTACATAACATCAAACTCCTTGTAATTTTATGTACAATTTACATAGTGTCACAACTTTAAATAGATGTATATACTACACACATACATGATATCAAACTCCTAAAAATTTAATGTACATCGAGTACAACTACTTTAAGTAGATGTACATAAAATACACTTTATATTGTACATAATATTAAACTCTTATCAAGGTTATGAACGTAGCACCACATTTTTTAGTAGATGTGCATACGATACACAGTAAATTGTACATAATGTCAACTGCTATCAATTTGCATGTGCATAGTACCACAACTTTTAATAGATGAACATACTATGCACTGTACATAGTTCGTGGAATCAAACTGCATTAGATGTACATTGTACATATTTCTTGAAATAAACCTTTACTATATGTACATTTAACATATTTCGTGAAATCAAAATGTATTAGATGCACATTGTACATAGTTCGTGAAATCCAACTGTATTAGATGTACATTTAACATAGTTCGTGGAATCAGCCTGTATTATATGTACATTTAACATATTTCTTGAAATCAAACTGTATTATATGTACATTTAACATAGTTCGTGAAATCAAACTGTATTAGATGTACATTGTACATAGTTCGTAAAATCAAACTGTATTAGATGTACATTGTACATAGTTCGCGAAATCAAACTGTATAAGATGTACAATGTACATATAGTTCGTGAAATCAAACTGTATATTAGATGTACATTGTACATCATTCGTGAAATCAAACTGTATTATATGTACATTGTACATAGTTCTCGACTGCAGTAGATGTACATTGTACAAACTCATTGAGTCAATTGTTATGAGATACACTGACACATTTTTAAACGTTCTTGGAATACAACTTTTGTTAGATTTATATAGAATAGTTCATAGAAATAAAACTGTATTGGATCTACAATTAACATACTTCAAATTATCAAACTGTTCTCAGATATATACAGTATAATGTACTGGTATAATCTACTGAGTACATTAGATACAACTTTTATACAATAGATGGTATTTATCAGGTATGTTCATATTATCAAACTATAATCAGATATATACAGTATAATGTACTAGTATAATCTACTGAGTACATGACATACAACTTTTATACAATAGATGGTAGGTATGTTCATATTATCAAAATATACAGATATATGGTATCAAACTTGTACTAGATGTATTGTACATACCATCATACCTTGAAGTATCGAATTGTTCTGTTGATAATTGTACAGTAAAAAATGTCAAACTACAAAGTTTTGTTGAATTAAAAATTAAATTAATGGTACATTTCGACTTTCAAAATATGTAAATTATTAAACAACACATGTGCACAGTACATTAGTGTACATTCAGTACATAGACTTTGACTAATTGGCAAATTTTACCGTGCCGCTTTTGACTTTACGAAATACACAAAATTGTTATGTTTTCTTTTTATTTAAGACTATGAACTTAAAAACTCCTTTTAATTACATGATGATATAATTACAAAACTTTTTATTCTTTTTTGTTCAAAGAGTCGGTCTTATTCCTTTTGATAAAATAATTAATTTAAATTTCTAAATTTAAGACTCTCGTCCTTTAAAATAATTCCACCTTTAAGACAAATGATCATTGCTTTGCAAACATTGAAAAGAAAAATTATTCTTACTTGCAAATTGTTTACACTTTTCAAATTGTTAACACTTTTCAAATTGGGGACCATTGTTCTAACATATATGAAGTTTCATCTAAGCAAAAGGGGTATTTGTCCGAATTTGACGGAGATATGAAATGATGATTAAATTTATATTTGTTTAAGTGAACAGTGGCCGAATTTAAAGAATTTGAGCGGCGGTTTAAATTTAAGCCGCGGCTTAAATATGGTTGGTTCCACTTAAAATTGTATAAAATTTTTCAAGATTTAAACCGGCGCTTAATTTAAACCGGGTTTTGGCGGATTTAAACCGCGGCTCAAATTCTTTAAATTCCATCTCAGCTAATTTTATAGTTCAATAGTATATTAGTTCTATCGATAAAGCATCGTATACTGTATTTGTAATCAAACGCTTACGTATCTAATTATTTCATATCGTAGGAAATGTGATATTCAAAGAGGTGGATTAAAAATAAAATTAAAAGTTTCCACAATGGATATTTAGATTAAGAGAACAGGATTAAGGGTATCCAATTCTAAAGTTTCAGCTCAGACTGAGTTTGTTTATATCGTTAAATATTCCTTAAATACTCAGAGTCCGAATTTAATGAATTTAAGCCACGTCTCGAATCCCCCAAAACCCGATTTTAATTGATCCCCGGCTTAAATCTTGAAAAATTTAATACAAATTTAAGTGGAACAAACCATATTTGAGCCGCGGCTTTAATTCAAACCGCGGCCTTAATTCTTTAAGTTCGGCCTCAGGTTTTTATAGCCAAGATTTGTTCATTGGATGTTAGATGAAAGTTTACGAAAAAGAAGCTGAAAAAGCAAAAAAAAATATAAAATTTGATTCTTACATTTTACTTTTTGGTCCAACTTGTAAAACTAAATATAAAGGTTAAAATTTAAGGGTAAACTTTGTGAATTTCTAGGAAATCCAGGTTCTGAAAACTTTATGCATAAATATTACACATTATACATCATACCTATACTTTAAATACAGTAGTCTCTATTCTTCTCAAAGCGACAGTTTGCTAAAACATACAATTTACACACCTGTCCTTTAACAACAAAAAACTTCTATTGGTAATAATGTTTATATAATTAAATACTGTAATTAAATATGTTAAAACTTAACTTATTAAAGAAATAAATTGACTGCTATTTACCTATCACAAGTTAATATTTTAGTAAAGGAATTGAATCTTTAAAACAAAATCAAATATTTAAACCTCAATATCTTTAGAACTCGATGTTGTAAACCTTTGATATTTCAAATTCAGATTATTTGATCTAACAGAATTCATAGATTGAAATATCTAAGGTCTGCAACATTTGGTTCCAAAGATATAGTGATTAGAAAATCAGAGTTTGTACAAAGACTTAATTCCTTTTCAAATAAAAGAACCCCCCGTCTTTAAATGGTAATGTATCATATTTGTTTTGTATTACTCAAATATGTATATATGTTATATTGTATAAAACAAATTATATTTGTGTTAACCCTAGCATTGTTGGGTAAATTTTGGGGGGGGGGGGGGGGTCGAGAAAACGTACAAACAAAGCTCAAGTTACATAAGTCGTGTGCCGTTAGTATATATCTAAATTTTGTTGAAATGTGAACTTTTATAACTGAATCGTTTACTTATCGAAATTAAATTTTTCATCAGGATATTTATTGCTTTCTTTTATTCAGCTGTTCACTGTTAAATTTTCAAAATTGATATGTTTAATTGCCGTTAAAGTATTAGCTTAATTCTTGGCCATTTGATAAATTAGTCAGTCGTGAAGACTGAAGCTTAATGAAACACATAATTCGCATTCATTGTGTTTTAGTCTTAAAAATCTTTTGTTAAAGGGACTGTAAGCGTAATTTCAAGTGGTTGTCCAATCTCCACGCTAACAGAGGAATGCAAAATTTTCGTTGAAAGCCTGATTATCGACAAATTACCGACAAAGCCGAATGCAAGTTATGAATTTAACTATTCCTTGAACACGGACAAAGGAATTGGATTTTTGCCAGAAACTTAAATTTTCGAATCCCAATATTAGAGCGACCTGTGGCTGATTTTAAAATTTTTTAGCGGCGGTTTAAATTTAAGCCGCGGCTTAAATATGGTTGGTTCCACTTAAAATTGTATTAAATGTTTTAAGAATTTAAGCCGGCGCTTAATTTAAACCGGGTTTTGGCAGATTTAAACCGCGGCTCAAATTCTTTAAATTCCATCTCTGATTAGAAAATCAGAGTTTGCTTCAAAGACACAATTCCTTTCCCTTAATAAGAGGATTTTCAAGCCACTTGTAAAACCTATTGTTGTATTTCAACACAAAATACACGTACATGTATTACATTTCGTCTTCCTTAAATCACTTTTAAAAGATTTCATGAACAATTATTAATCACATGGATGTTACGTTAACATTGAAATCATGTCTATCTTATTTTTGATTCGTATTTTTGTATATTTAAACCTAATTTAATGTTTTTTGTTTCAGATAAATATGACAGAAAGATAATATTGAAAGATGAATCTCAATAAATATATTTGTGAATAGTTTTTAAGTTTAACAGGATGCACAGTCCATACAACTATACCAAGACTCAGGTCAGATATCACTATAGTTTCAGTAGAAGTAAATATTTTCATTTACTGATAGCGCCGATTGAAGGATTCATAACTCTGATTGGATAATGAGACAAATAGAAAGATAGATGTTACCGTCATACTATTTCTATTGGTTCAGAAAAGACAACAAACACATAGCTGAACCCTGATTGGATCAGGCGTTAATGGACTCGGCATACTAGAGTGATATAGAGATGAATCAGGAGTTCAAGGGGGTTTAATATGGAACCTGTAAAAGGACTTTAAGCGTAATTTTAGTAACTCTCCCTACATAGATGGCAATGTCTGATTCACCACAAGGTGGAGGATATTATTGGTTTTAAGTTTCTAGGCAGTAAAATGCCCAGAACACAATGAAAATAATTTAAAATTAAAAACATTTATTAATAATACTTACATACTTTATTACATTTATTTATGCATTTAATTTTTTTTTATTTTGAAATAGTGGGGTGAATAAAATAATTGAACAACCTCAGACCAATAAGTTTTGAGTTATATACAGTGAATATTCGGAGCCGGAAATAGATCAGATGGAAAAACGAGGATATGTAAAAAATGCCCTACTTCACTAAATAGCTTTAGATACCCATTGTGGTTCAGATATTCATTGTGGCTCAGATACCCATTGTGGTTCAGATATTCATTGTGGCTCAGATACCCATTGTGGTTCAGATACCAATTGTGGCTCAGATACCCATTGTGGTTCAGAGACCCATTGTGGTTCAGAGACCCATTGTGGCTCAGATGCCTATTTCACGGGTACAGTTGTGCATTGGATATTCCATACCTAAATTGAGTGTCACACTTCTGTATGCCGAGTCCATTAGCGCCTGATCCAATCAGGGTTCAGTCATGTGTTTGTTGTCTATTCTAAACCAATTGAAATAGTATGGCGGTAACATCTATCTTTCTATCTATCTCATTATCCAATTAGAATTAATTCAGTGTTCAGTTTTAGTGATATACTTAAATATTAGAATGTAATTTAAAATAATTTAAATGAGTTCCAATTGTAAAACAAAAAATTTGAAAGGGTTTATTCGACAAAACTAAATTTATGGCATCTTGTTCCAATGAAGAGCTAACAGACCAAACCCAAACAAAACTAAATTTATGGCATCTTGTTCCAATGAAGAGCTGACAGACCAAACGCAAACAAAACTAAATTTATGACATATTGTTTCAATATAGAGCTGACAGACCAAACTCAAACAAAACTAAATTAATGGCATCTTGTTCCAATATAGAGCTAACAGATCAAGCTCAAACAAAACTAAATTAATGGCATCTTGTTCTAATATAAAGCTAACAGACCAAACTCAAACAAAACTAAATTTATGGCATCTTGTTCCAATATAGAGCTGACAGACCAAGCTCAAACAAAACTAAATTAATGGCATCTTGTTCTAATATAGAGCTAACAGACCAAACGCAAACAAAACTAAATTAATGGCATCTTGTTCTAATATAGAGCTGACAGACCAAACGCAAACAAAACTAAATTAATGGCATCTTGTTCTAATATAGAGCTGACAGACCAAACTCAAACAAAACTAAATTTATGGNGAAATTAAGGATCGCCCAAACTGTCATTAAAAAAATCCTATCTTTCGGCGTCACGTAAAGATCGTAATAAGCATGAATTACTAAAATGAAGAGATCAAACATGGGTCATCTAACTTAATTAAAAATGCCCACATTAGATATCGAGATCAATCGTTCAAGATTGAGAATACTGAACACAAAAATTTTCACCTTTGACCCAAACATACTTTTCTGGATAAAAGGGTTTATCATTCACAAAGCATAATTAGCATTTGGCAAAAAAAACATGCTCTGTCGTAGACATAGACCAACTCATGCATAGTGAGAACAAAATATTTTATAGTGACAAACTAAAAATGGCCAGTTTCTAGTGGAAAAGTGGAAAGTTAGTGCTATGCTAATTTAAAATGATCATTATCAACATGATTCCCAAATCTTCTGATAATCAGATAGAAGAAGTTCATCAAGAACAGCATAAGCATCTGTTTCGTCAACAGATTTCAGTAGAGTATCTATATATTTATATATTTTTTTGTACTAAAAAAATTAATTGATCGACTCAGGAGACTCTACAAGCCCTCAAAAATGAACCAATTGGTCAAAATTTATGTCCTTGCATTTGCATTGAGAGTTTTTTGTTAAATTTGTTTTCTAAGAAGATGAACAATACAATTTCCTTTCAGTGGATTTGGTGTAGTTATAACGCATTTTATTTTTATATCATACGTTATATGTAAAGATACTATTCCACTATTCCAGCTAAAGAGTATTCCAGTAACTTGGCCCTGACTTTACATTCACATTTTATTAGGATTACTTCTTTGTTCTTTCTCTTTAGAAATTTGTTTTTGCGGGATGGGATGGGAAGTGTGTGATACCAGTTCTCGTTAGCTCACTAAAGTTAAGCACACTTGTCCACAGCTAGGAACTGGATTGGTGTCCAGACTGGTGTTCACGGGGATTCCCGTACTCTCCCACAAACCTGTGGTTTCAAAAACATCTGAAGCCGACATCTGGTTAACTAGTTATGACCACCTGGCGGATATAAGGAGGACAGCTCTCGCAGCGAAAGGGTGCGTGCGTTCTACTCAACAAGAAAGAAGCTTTTAGTGGATTTATTTAAGTGAATGATGATGAAGAGAAGAAAGGTGCACCTGGAGGTATCCAATCCGGGCTTACAAATAATTGGGAGCAATGTGTGTGATGTTTCCTGTCTGTAAGGCACCCGGGCTTCATTCCATTATATCATAATACCTGCACTCTATTATTCTTAGGCCTGAAGCCCCTAGGCACCCTCTTCTCAACATGAATGAAGCATGGATGGATGAATGTGCTGCCAGATTACAACCCCTGATGTATCAATAGAAAACCAAAACAAAACAAAAACTTTCGCAACAGAAAAATTCCGAGATTTGATCTTAACAACCCAATCATGTCCTAGGGATAAAAAATCTCTTAAAATTTAGTTTTTCTTTTATTTTTGTATTTTCATAATATATACATATATATATATACTTGTAGGAGAGCTGTCAGGAGGAAAGAAAGGCATGGATTTTCTTATTAATCAGCTGCTCATCATACTTTGGTCTTCTAATCATTGTGGTTTTTTTCACACTCCTATCAGGTAAAATATAGTCAAGGAAATGAACATGTATTTATAAAGTGATATTTAGAGAGCAAGGGAATAGGAAGACGACATTATGGCAATATATAATTCTATTTGATGTTGTTACAAAGCAAAAGGTCTCACTTAATCATTAATTTAGTGTAATGGGTCTGTTTACACTCCACATTGTTGTGTCTCATGCTCATTGAACTTTTTAAAGCTTTAAATTGATTTTAAAAGTCGTCTTCTTATTACAGACTTGTCTGGTTATCACTGCAACGGAATTTATCATTATATGACGTAAGAATAAAAATTATTATTAAATCTATAAAAGAATCTAGCGTAAAGAAAAGCGTTTATTTCTTACTAAAAATATCAATAGACCCTAAGGTACAGTTTTAAAGGTTCCTAAAAATTTGAAGTTTTATGTTTTTTTTTATTAACTCCCCCAAGATTGTAAGATTGCAAAATGTTGTATCTAAACATACTTTGCTTGCCTGGGTATCTCTTTGTATCCAATAAACGTCTAAACCGATCGGGCCCAAATTTGGTGTGGGACCCCTAGGAAGGTTTATGAATGCTCAGAATTACGAAAGCTTTTGATTTTTGTAAAATTTTAAAAAATGCGGGAGAAAAAATGAAATCTGCTAACTTTTTTTATTGTTTTACAAACTGTACTAAGAAAAGAAGCTCACAAATAGAGCCACAATTAAAGTCAATATAGAGGATGGGCGCGAAGCGCCCTAAAATCATAGTAAATAAAATAAGGAAAGCAATCCCTTTAATTAACTTATTCGAAACCAGAGGTAGGACCCTTAGTAATTAAAGTTTACATTTGAAATATAAAGTTTTCAAATCATTATTTCTACTTTTAACTTCATGGTCCGGGAAATTTATTTAAATTTATGGAAATATGTTTAACCCTATAAAGGCTGGGGGTTTGAATCCATATAAAGCCTCTCATAGAAAAAGCCCTTAACGTATAGTTCTTTAATGTAGTTTTTAAATCTATAGCTTCAGTCACAAAATAGGTCTTACTATTTTAGATTTTTTTTGAACACCAACCAGACGCTTTACCGCCATGTTTTACCCTACCATGTGCATCAAAACAAATGTTTACAAAAAAACCTTTAAATTACTTTTCCCTAAAGTCTAAAAAAAAACATAGTGATAGTGTCAAAAATTAGAGTACCAAGGAAAAAATTAGAGATACGCACTCCCCCCTCCTCTCCCCCCCCTCCCGCCTGTTTAGGGTTAAGAGAACTGCACTTTCCTGTTCCTGGATAGAATAATGGGGAAAAGAAAATTTCTAAACATTTTCTTTTTTCTTACATTTTCAAGAACAAAGGACCTATCTACCTCAAGACTTGTCCCGTTTACAAAACTAAATTTCTTTGCAACCTGGAGCCACGTAGACCAAGCTACAGGGATTATAAATTTAGTGTTTGGCGAGTGTTCAGTTACTTTTTGGATTTGTTTTGCAGTGGTAATAATAGTTTTTTTAGTAACATTTTTATCTCTGAACCGTTGCTCTTCAAGCAGCCATTTTTTTAAAATTGTATTTCGTGGATTTTTGGGTTTGAATTTGCACATTTCAAACCATGAATTTTACTGAATTAAAAAGTCATGATTTGAAAAAAAAGAAAGTTTTACATCAATAAAAGTATTCTAGAAAATTAGAATTTTAGATTTTTATTTTCTTTGGTTCTAACATATATAGGTGTTTAAAGGTCACTGATAGCAACACAAATATGAAATAAAAAAGTAGAAAAAAATAGAAAACACAATACACTCAGTAATACAAATATATGCTTAGAACTGTTCAAACAATTTTGGTTTTCAATTTACATCGGCAAACAAAAGTAAAAAAAATGCAATTTTTCTGACATATATTTTAATCAAGAGGAGGTGCTTTAAGCGTTAAAATTCGGTAGTGCATCCCGCATTATATACGATAAAAATTCTTGAAGTTAAACTTTTTCATTTTTCCCGTTTCCTTTCAAATTCTGGAAACTCTTAGTTTTATGAAATTAAAAAAAACACAATTGTTCCTTAGAATGAATTAAAATAAGCAATTTACGATAAAATAAAATAAAATGAAGCAAAGAAGTCTGACCGCGTCAACCTTGTTGCACTATAGTCCTGTCCATAGAGCTAGGTACAGTACAAACTGGGACCGGAAAGGTTGACCCGGCTCGGAAATTGAAATGTACTACGGCTGCCCAAAAAAAAGAGATATGGTTGAAGTTTCAGTAAAAACAGCTAGGTTATATTTTTGGTTAAAAACGATTAATCTTTGGTTGCAAATGTTTATATTTTCATCTAAAATGAATTAATCTATAGTTGAAAATGGTTAAGTTTTGAGTAATTTTATTTTTCGTTTTTTACATTTTTAGACGTTTCTTTTTTAAGGTTATATCAAAACGCTAAAACTTCCACGCCCATTAGCTCTATTCAACTATTAATATTGTTTGTTTTTGATTATTATATGTTTAGTTGTAGAGTGTATAAGTACATATCTCGAATAGTGTTTAAATGAAAGGACAGTGCAGGAAAAGCATAATTATACATCATTGAATAAAATTTGAATAATACAATTCAATTAATGTTTTTAAACTCAACAAAGAAATTGCTATACACAGTATACAAACCATACTACCCCCACCCCCTACCTTCTGGTTCGTTCTAATTTATATTGTTTCTGTTGCTCGTTTTCTCTTCTTTGTTCGTGTTGTCTCTTTTGTCCGTATTGTCTCTTTTGTCCGTATTGTCTCTTTTATCCGTGTTGTCTCTTTTGTCCGTGTTGTCTCTTTTGTCCGTGTTGTCTCTGTTGTCCGTGTTGCCTCTTTTGTCCATATTGTCACTTTTGTCCATGTTGTCTCTTCTGTCTTTGTTGTCTATGTTATGTTCTTTTGTTTTTGCATGGTCTGTTTTTCATGTTGTTTATGTTGTTTATGTTGTTTATGTTGTTTATGTTGTTTATGTTGTTTATGCTGTTTATGTTGTTTATGTTGTTTATGTTGTTTATGTTGATTATGTTGTTTATGTATTTTTATGTTGCTTATGTTGGTTATGGTCTGCATTTTCTTTGTAGTCTTTTTTTTTCTTTGTTGTCTAAATGATTTATTTTGTCGATGTTGTCTATGTTTTCTTTATTGTCTACGTTGACTGTAATGTTAATTTTCTCTATGTTCTCTTGTTGTATAATGTCTATGCTGTCGATGTTTTCATGTTGTCAAAATTCTTTATCATGTCATTGTTGTCTATTTTGTCTATATTTTGACTGCTATCTTTGTTGTCTATGTTGTCTTTATGTTATCTATGATAAATAATAAATAAAAATTAATTTTATTTCTATTTTTCAGCACTCTGCAAAAAGTTGTGCAAACCAACAGAGGTATGCCATAACAATTAATTTCTTTATGAAAATATCTTTATCTATTCAAATCATATTAAAATTTGTTCTTTTAAATTCATAGAACGAAGAAAAATGTGTGAAATAATTGTTTTAATATTGCAGGTCAAAGCTGAGTCCAATATAGAGCCTATAGCTGGGAGTAAGTTACCTTTCATAATTTCACAGAAATTTTCCTTTTTTGAAAAAACCTTAATCCAAAAAATGATTAAGTTTTCTTAGGCTATATTTAAAGAACTGCAAGACATAGTTGAACTACATAAACTAAGCTGAACCACTTCTAGCTTCAGTTTGCCCCGGCACAAAAGAGAAGTGGTTTAGCAATCTATACACAATTAGGGTTTCCACGAAATGGCTAAATCTTTTGCGCAAAATTTGCGCTATTTTCGCGCAAATTTTTTTTTTTCGAACTTTTGTGCTATTTTTGCGCATGAAACGCAATGAGTTTTGCGCTATTTTTTTTGCGCAATTTGCGCAAAACCGGAAATATTTTTTGCGAAAGTTGCGCATGAAACGGAATTTTAGTTTTGGGCAATTTTTTGCGCAATTTGCGCAAAACCGCAAGTTTTACACAAAATGTAACTATTTAGGCAAATTGTCAAAAATTGATATTCTAAGCTTAGAATTAAACAACTGAAGATTTATTCCATGCATAAAAAAATATTAACATACGAGTATGATAACTATTATACTACACTCCATTGGTTACTTCCAGTTACAAAAAGTTTAAATTAGAGAGTGTGAAACTTGGCAATGTTTTAATCCTATTAAATAATTTCAAGTGACCCTTAAAAGCTTTGCCTAATCAAGTATGAATTATATTCTTAAATTTTTTAAATCAAATTTCTGAAATCTTTTTAATCTCATATAAAATAATGCAAGAAAGTAACCAATGCCTGAAGAATCCACTTTTAGGAAATATGCATGTCCAAAACTAAAATTGTCGAGACTTTTACTGGACAATCTGTTTCGGATTTTGGTACAAAACCTTCCAGCTCTGGAAGAATTGAATTCTAAGAAACACACACCGTCACCAACCGTTTGATTTTCACGAAATTGCGGAATTGCGCAAAACTCTAGTTGCAGAATTGCGCAAAACTTGAGTTTCGCAAAAACGGTAAAGGGCAATTTTGCGCGAAATGACTTTTGCGAATGATTGCGCAAATTGTTGTTTTTTCGCGCAAAACTGATGCGCAAAGAAAGAAAAATTTTGCGTTTCGTTCCGCAAAAATTGCGCAAAAGTTTTGCGAATGGAAACCCTATACACAATGTAACTACTTCTTGGCATTCATTTAGTTCGGTCCATTAAGTTAAATGAATGCAGAACATTTTGAGAACTAATTTGTTTCTAACTTCTGGGAAATTTCATGTCCTATCTGTGTAATTTGTGGTGGATACTAATATAAAATCTAACATGACATATCATGTCCTATCTGTGTAATTTGTGGTGGATACTAATATAAAATCTAACATCACATATCATGTCCTATCTGTGTAATTTATGGTGGATACTAATATAAAATCTAACATGACATATCAGGTCCTATCTATGTAATTTATGGTGGATTCTAATATAAAATCTAACATGACATATCAGATCCTATCTAAGTAATTTATGGTGGATACTAATATAAAATCTAACATGACATATAATTTCCTATCTATGTAATTTATGGTGGATTCTAATATTAAATCTAACATGACATATCAGGTCCTATCTGTGTAATTTATGGTGGACACTAATATAAAATCTAACATGACATATCAGGTCCTATCTATGTAATTTATGGTGAATTCTAATATAAAATCTAACATGACATGCTCATGCAAAACTACAGGGGACCTGTAAATAATGATATGTTAGAAACCAGTAAATTCTTTTCTATCTGTTAAGATCATTTTCTAATCATGTCATTGAATTAAATCTCTTCCCTCATACATGTGCCAAACTTCTGGACCAAATTTGCTGATTTTTTTTCAAGATGTTTTTTTATTTGCTAAGATTTTTTTATTTCACGGGCAACGCCGGGCATTTTAGATTGTTACATAAAATATAAAGCAGACAATTTAAATTAAAGCTTACTTTATGAATTGTTCTAAATGTCGTCATATACGTCTGATTCTTTGTGTGTAACCGTGTAGTCTAGAAAAACTTAACCTGATTAATGTGACATTCGAATATTAATGCATTACTTTATAAAAAGGGTCATTATCAAAATATATTACTATAACTACACATATATATGTATATGTTTTGTTCACTGTATATTCTTTGTTTGATTTAACTTATTTATGAGTAAAAAGGTTTATTTAGATTATTCAAAAGAGTTTTGTTGTGCAATGCTTGTTTCCACTTAGTTGATAAAAAACAGCAAATAAATCTAATATTTCTGGTTTTCATTATTCCAGACATTTCTATTAACCAAAATATATTTTATATACAAGTTTGAAGGTAATTATAATTAATAGTGAACTTTTTTTGAAAAGCAGAAAGCTTGAAAATTTGTGTTCCAAACCTGGCACTCAATGTCAGGTTTTGGCCAAATTATGAAATTAAATATTTCCCCCCTGTAATAAAATATTCCTATACAGGGTTACTTTCTAAGGATAAGGCTTTAATGACGACCTGAAAATGTTAATTTTAACACTCTGAAGGTTGAATTTGGACTATTGTAGTTTTTTTAAATGTACATAAATGATCTGGCAATGATAGAAACTAGTTTACAGTTGAAGGGTAACAGAAAGAAACAATTTTAAACATTAGTCTTTCTGTATACAGTCAGTAATTTCTGAAGTCTCATTAATTGCAAACAGTCAGTTGTTTCTGAAGTCTCATTAATTGCAAACAGTCAGTCGTTCCTGAAGTCTTATCAATTATACACAGTCAGTCGTTCCTCAAGTCTCATTAATTGCAAACAGTCGGTCGTTTCTGAAGTCTTATCAATTATACACAGTCAGTCGTTCCTGAAGTCTTATCAATTATACACAGTCAGTCGTTCCTGAAGTCTCATTAATTGTAAACAGTCAGTTTATAATGGATTAGACTTTAGGAACTAAAGAATTATCAATTATAAACAGTCAGTCGTTCCTGAAGTCTTACCAATTGCGGATAACCCTGTATAAATCTTGTTTTATTAATCAAGGTTCCTTCCGGTCGGAAGTACGAGAATGGGCGACCAGTCTTATTTCCGGGCAGACCACAACAGGTATAACTGCACACTCAACGGAATAGAAGAGAGTATGTACGCATATATCCGAGGTATATTTCCGGTCAGCAGGTTCTCGCTGAACTAAATAGAGGAGTAAATGTCCGTGTATATCCAAGGTATATTTCCGGTCAGCAGGTTCACGCTAAATTAAATAGCGGAGTAAATGTCCGTGAATATTCAAGGTATATTTCCGGTAAACAGGTTCTCGCTGAACTAAATAGAGGAGCAAATGTCCGTGTATATCCAAGGTATATTTCCGGTCAGCAGGTTCACGCTGAACTGAATAGAGGAGTAAATGTCCGTGTATATCCAAGGTATATTTCCGGTCAGCAGGTTCACGCTAAACTAAATAGAGGAGTAAATGTCCGTGAATAGTCAAGGTATATTTATGGACAAACCACAACAGGTATAACACGATGAACTAAATATAAGAGAGTTTGTTCGCATATATATATCTAAGGTATATTTCCGGTCAGCAGATTCACGCTGAACTAAATAGAGGAGTAAATGTCCGTGTATATCCAAGTTATATTTCCGGTCAGCAGGTTCACGCTAAACTAAATAGAGGAGTAAATGTCCGTGAATATTCAAGGTATATTTCCGGGAAAAGAAAAGCATGAGGTTTGCCCTGAACTAAACAGGGTTGTACAATATACATTTCCGTATATATCCAAGGTATATGTTTCCGGACAAAGAACAACATGTACATGCTATACTTGAAATAATTGTACATGTAGCTTTTTATCAATATATACAGTGTAGACTTCAGACCAGGTAAAGCTGTACATGTCCTTTTTAAGCATTATTTACGTTTGACAATTTAAAGTTTTTGGTGAAAAAACATGAAAGATTTAAGAAGTAAAACTGGTAGAACTTATACAAAATTACAAAAATCTTCCCGATTAAAACGATTCCATGTGAAAAACGGAAAAAGATATGCAGTTCTCACAGATCAACTTGTACATTTGTACGCTTTTATAAAATTCAACGTAACTAGATTTGCACTCCACTGACAATTCTACCTTGTTCAAGTGTAAGTACTAATAATTTGCGAACATTTTAACGATATCAACGTTATTGATTGGTAGGTAAATATTACAGGAATGTCGTGTAATACTATAATTATAAACATTACTTATGTTAGTATACATTAATTGATGAACAGAAAGCTCATGAAATACATGTTTTACAGAATTCGACCCAATTTAAAAAGCCACATATATGTTTACTTAAAACATGAATCACTGGAATACAGAAATAAGGAAAAATTGGTTAAAACCACATTAAATGGAAGATACAAGAAAGATCAATGGAGGTAGTTTTCTTTATTGCTACTATTGGTACCGTTTTAATTGAGAAACCGCTGTTCTTACTTGAAATTACGTCACAAGACCCATTAAATACATGTAAAGGCTCAAGGTATTTAATAACACTGGTTTTCATCTAATTTCTATTTTGAAAAATGAAATCAATGCATTAAAAATTAATTTTTGAAAGTCAAAATTATTTAGAAATGTTTTTTTTATTGTTGTACTGATCATGAAATCCACAATTAAGTAATTATTTTGAACTAAATTTAATTTTTGAAAAATGGCTCGAGCAATTGCTAAAGTCGACCTTAGAAACAGATAAATTATATGCATTGGAATTTTTATAATAACGATTGTTTTGCGAAAATATAATGTAAAGTTTTGTGCCGAAATCTGAATTCCATCTTCACAAAAAGTATTAAGAACAGATTGCGAATAAATTTCGTCTGATGCCTGTAAGAAGAAGAATATATTTATGAAACATAATGCGGCAAAACCCTACACAAAAACTAAACTATTTTATTAAAAATAAGCAGCAGACGAATTTTGAGAAAATTAATAACAAAACTTTAACATTAAAGAGACAGTTATGGTAATTTCAAGAGAGTGGCCATTTATTTTTAAAGGGTTGTCTGCTACAAACCTTTGCCTGATCAAATGTGATAGAGATATCTCGTCTTTTTTTCTACAAAATTAATATTTGTCATGAAAATACATAAAAATCTTTATATGTTTATTTGCATGCTAACCAAAACTACTATATCTCACAATAATTATTACATAACTGTTTAAAGGGCAACGTTGAAAATTGAACATGGATCCGGGGTCACTTGAAATCATAATGACATTCCCTTTAAATATTGTATATTAAATTAATTGAACATAAAAAGTTTTATGAAACTATTGTGTATTTTATCATTCTTCCTCACTTCATTGTGAATTTCATAATTAACTTGCTATAAAGTAATCATCGTGCTATAAAGTTAAATTAGCTGTACATTAAAGCACGTGTGCTTTAAAGTTTTGATTGGTTACCGGATTTTTTCCAAAAACTGTAGGATAATTGCAAAATATTTTTTTTCCAATTGAAATGAAAATAAAATTGAAATCAAATTTGTAATTTGACTTTTTTGTCTCAATTCTTATTTAGAAATAGCCATTGAAATAAGTAGTAAGTACACAAACGTTTCATAAAGTTATTTATAAACTATTCTTTTGGCACGACGTATTATAAAGTTTTTGGACTTAAATTTTCGCTATATCTCGAAGGTTTTTTTTAGATTTTATCTTGTCCCTCTAAAAAGGCTTGAACCTTCTCGATAAAAAAAAAAAACAAATTTCTGTCCAAAAATTTGTTAACACTGCGAACCAAAATAATAGTGTTATAAATAGTTAGTTCAATCTTACAGTTCACGGGATTTTTTTGTGTATCCCCTTCGTAATGACATGAGTTTACCACAGAATAAAGAATATTATAGAGAGTGAAATATTGGTGAAAAAAATGATGTAAAACCGCCATCTAAACTTCTGCTTTAAAATGTTTTGAACCAAGGAAGGATACATTGTAAGTGAATCTTGATGCAAAGATGACAATGCTCGATTAACAACGGTACCCTAAACATCTTCATCTGACCAGAAGTGTGTAAGATAACGTCGTTTTTCACACTCAAAAACTGTTTTTTTTTTCTGTGAATTTGTCCGTGCTTCTTTCACGCAAGAAATGCGCAAGTAACTTTCGCAGAGAACCTGCAAATGAAATTTAGCATTTTAAAACATCAAATACACTGATATCTAAATCTAATGCATACCTAACCAGACAACGCTTTCAAGGACAGCGTTGTACATCGGGCATTAGGGTGTTTGCATGGAGGGTCACTTAAAGTCCGACAAAAACTTGTAACTTTCATCTTTTTAATATTCTCTACTCTGTGGAGTTTACCCAATTACCTGTGTAAGGGGGAGAGGAGGGAGAAGAAGGGGAAGGAGATGCAGAGCAAGGAGGGAAAGTAGGAGAAGGGAAACGTGGCGGACAGTACAAAGAAATGAATGATGAAAGAATAGGAGGGAAAGAAAAGAAACTTGGATTAGGAGGTGTGGGCTGCAGGGGGTGATTGATTTTTAACTCTAATCTCTTGATTTTTTACTTTAATCTCTTGATTTTTAACTCTAATCTCTTGATTTTTAACTCTAATCTCTTGATTTTTAACTCAAATCTCTTGATTTTTTACTCTAATCTCTTGATTTTTACTCTAATCTCTTGATTTTTAACTCTAATCTCTTGATTTTTAACTCTAATGTCTTGATTTTTTACAATTATAATCTCTTGATTTTTTAACTTTTTAATTAAAATTAAATTGCCAATCTGAAAATCTAAATCATGTATCAAGCATGTTTTGAACACTTTTTTACTTTGAGTAAAAAATTTGGAATTTTTGAATTGCTAAATATCGTTTGCGATTATGGTTTGGGATTGCGTCGTAATTAAAATAAGGCAAAAACTCTTGATTTTATAAAAAGAGAGAAAAAATCGATAACCTTGAGTGTAGGTGTGTACTTTGAAAAGCACGGTGTATTTTTTTAATGTATTTTTATTTGTGCACACTGTAAGAAGAAATCCTATTGGTGTCTTCCATACAGAAGATAGATTGATATATAAACAAAACTTTCTAGGATTATAAAGTGAAAAGGAATTGTTTTTTTTTATAATAAACTCTGATTTAATAATCCCTAATTCTGTCGTAGACATTACATATTTCAAACTATGAAATATTCTGTTTGATCAAATAATTTAAGTTTGAAATATCAAAGGTTTTCAAAATCAGGTTGAAAAGTTCTAAGTCTGTGCTTCTTATGGGCAGATCCTTTGTCCAAACCCCACTCAATCGGGATTACCCATGGGACTATGTACTGTATATTTTCAGTCTAGTACTTCAAATGGACCGGAGTTTTCAGCGATGCTTTTAAAGCAGATTTCATAAAACTTTGTTTAAAGATCAATAAGGAATATTTAAAATAAATTTTACAGAACAAACAGACTTTTATGGTGCGTTTTTAATGTGCATATTTGAAAATGTACCATACTGCTATGAGAGCACACTAGGCATTTTACAAAAAAAATCAATAAACACTTTTTGCAGAATGCGTAGATAAAATTGTTTACGATCAATATTTCCTATCTTTATGAAGATGGGTTTTTTGAACGCCGAGTGCTTCTGTGCTAAATGTTTGAGTTTTCAAAAGTAGATTAGAGTTATAATGAAGCATGTTTTAATATCATAGTTTAGGTGAAAAAGATGGTAAAATTATTCAAAGAAGACTTTCCATTTCAATTTTGATTTCTACCAAGCTTGCAAACAGCAGAAACACTTGAACATTTAAGAGAAGTTGTTGATTAACAACTTCACTTTGTAAACTTGTATTCTGAAAAATGCTTATTAAGGATCAAATTATTATTATTAGAAGTTGTCTTTGTTGTATTGATATAATCGTTGACCTGCACTGTATTAATAAGAATGAAAGAAAAAAATACAAATTATTAATATTAAAATACTTTTATTTTGTTTATATAATAATTTAAAGTCTTTTCATGACTGATCTGATAGGTTTACAGTTTGGTTTTAAAATTGATTGGCAGAACAACAGAATTATTAAGTTCGTTCAATACCGAAACTGAATGGACGTATAAGACTGATTGTTCCTTTGTTCAAGTGTTAGCATGGCACATGATTATGATAGATAGTACAAAGTATTTACCGTATACGTTCAATGCCGCAACTAATTTTATCTGTTTTCAGGAAGACTGTTAGTCGTCTTTATTTACGCCTGCAATGTTTGTGCAGTTATTGTTTATATGATTGACACATCATCAGGTAATATTTTTAGAGATAATAAAATGACTTAAATCCATGCTTTTTTCGTTTTTTAGTGTTGTGAAACTTTTGATCAAGATGAAATATCTTGAAGACCTACGAATCTATATATCTCCTATTTCATATTTCGCGGTCATTGTCATAACCTGCAGTGATAAGTTAATACTTTATCCTCAAATCTTAAAGTGTCCACATTGGATATCGATATCAAGTGTCATATAATATCGACAATGTAGGTACAAAAAATTTCCTACCTGTGTTAATTGCATTCTTTTTCAAAAAGTTCTTGGGATAATTTTTTTTTAACAGAATTAAGAACGAAAAAGGGGTCGAATAAAAATCTTAAATTTAACTCTTTTTTCTTACTTTTTCTTTATATATTTCAGGCTTGATGGAAGAATGCATAACTTGGGTGGATTCAATTACACTTCAGGTTCAAGTATTTATAACTATTAGAAACTTCTATCATTAGTTCTCCATCAACTCAAATTAGGTTGGTTCGCAAGTCTTAGAAATTTTTTTTGACAAGCCAAACATAATTTTTATATTTATATTATCTTGATAGATTTTTTCAATTCAAACTAAATATTAACATTACTTCGAAAACATGTTTTTATCTTACTTTTCTTAACTTTCTGATCGATTAAAATATGTTTGATTAATTCAAATGCATTAACTTTAAAGAGAGATTTTTTAAAATTTCCATCTTTATATAAATTTGGCTTGTCTGTTTTTGTGGGACATCACGTGACCACAGGGAAGGTTTAGGAATGATAAAAAATTTTTAGAAATGTGTTTTAAAGGTTTTTAATTTTGTAAAAAAAAAATTTTAATTCTTGAAAATCCGCGAATTTTTTTTTAAATCCGCAACATTTTTTTCTTCTTTGTTTTAAAATGTAAACAAAAATAACATGTTCACAATTTAAATAGAAGCCTAAAAGCCTAGGAAAAGAAAGCAAAGAGCCTTGAATTTCTAGTTTAAGAAATATATTTAAAAAATTTTTTTTTTTATTTTATTGGGCGTAATAATTCCCAAGCCATCACAGTTTAACCCGATTCGGCCTACATAATGGTCAAATTCGAATTTGGTCCGGTTCAAATTCGAATTTCATGCATATTTCCTTTTTTATACACAATAAAAAAAGTGAATTGGTTTTCTCAGCAATATTTCTTGTAGACTTCTAAATGGAAAAGTTCCATTTTACCATTTGAAATGATTTAATGGAATACGGAAGACATGCTTTAAAAGGAAAATGATTTATGCATCACATTTGAAATGTAAAAAAGTCTTTGAATATTATATTCATATTTTTACCATGTGGTAACATTTGTAACACAATTTCCCCTTTTTATCAAAATGCAAAACTATTTTATATTTCGAGCAAAAAGAGAATAAATTGATCAACTTTAAAAACTGACAAGAAATACACTTAAATAAATTTTTAATAAAACAATTTTAAAACAGAAACTATACTTGTTTAAACTTTCAATACAGAATGGTAAATATTCTTTCCGATTTTTAAATATTTATAATTGTATCTTATCTGTTGCCTACATAATTTGTTTTTCTTTTTAAAAAATTCTTTATAGGGAATTCGGTGATTTTATATTTGAGCTTGTCATGTTTTTCAAAAATATGTTGATCATTTTAAAATTTAAAAATATTTTTGAAACTAAAAGAAATAGTTGACACGTTAAAAAGCAAAATCATACAAAATTTGTTGCAGTTAAAATTTGTTCAGGCTATGTCTTTAACCCAATTTTTTACTAATAAAGATTGCGGGGGGGGGATGTTTTCCAACCCCCTTTTGGTTTTGCCTTTAGAGTTGAGATAGGTGAGTGTGATACATGTCCCTAGTTTTTTTTAAACACTGACCCGTCCTTTGACTATTCTCCACCCTCCCCTATGCATAAAAAAGTAAATTTTGTTCACAACTATGAAGTTTGAAAAGTGAAAAAAATTTAGCGTTACATTGTCAGTCGTTTTTAAGTTATTTAGAAAAAATACAGAGTGGGTAACCCCTCCCCCAATCGTGATAAGCTTATACGATAAATCTCTTTTTTACTTTTGAAAAAAGAAGCAAAAACAATGTATGTTTTACAGATAGACTTTGCTCTGAGTGTAATCTTCATCCTTCATCATTTACTTCGGCTCCTTGCATCTTCAACAATTCTATCTTTCCTCCTAGAGATGGTTACTATAGTAGACTACTTTACTATACCTCCTCTACTAGCATCTATATGGATGGGTAGAACATGGATAGGACTCAGGTATATACTTTACTATACCTCCTCTACTAGCATCTATATGGATGGGTAGAACATGGATAGGACTCAGGTATATATTTAACTATACCACCTCTACTAGCATCTATATGGATGGGTAGAATATGGATAGGACTTAGGTATATACTTAACTATACCTCCTCTACTAGCATCTATATGGATGGGTAGAACATGGATAGAACTCATGTATATACTTAACTATACCTCCTCTACTAGCATCTATATGGATGGGTAGAACATAGATAGGACTCAGGTATAAAATTAACTATACCACCTCTACTAGCATCTATATGGATGGGTAGAACATGGATAGGACTCAGGTATGTACTTGACTATACCTCCTCTACTAGCATCTATATGGATGGGTAGAACATGGATAGGACTCAGGTATGTACTTGACTATACCTCCTCTACTATAGCATATGTATGGATGTGTAGAACATGGATAGGAATCAGGTATATACTTTACCACCAAATTAATTTTCACATAATTTTGTTTTTCAAAATTAAGAGTTTTTATTGTCTTTCGTTTTCAGCTGGAATCAGCATTTTAAGAACTAAGTTGGTTCTTTTGATTTTATATATTTCTACCTTGTTTTCAGCAAAGTTGAAAAAAAAATATTTGTCTTTGTCAAAACTAGAGGCAAAACTTTAATGTTTGATCTTGTGACTAAGTCTTTAATTCCTATGTTAAGAATTCCATGATTTCACTTATCCCGATTGTTTTTTTTGTCTTATGTATATGGCCTAGCCCAACACTCAAGGCAATCTTGTTGAACACAAGTAAGACCACTAACTTTAATAGGTATGACGTGCAAGGAAGGCTAAAATTTAAAGATAACGCCAAAAAATGTTGAAAATCACTTATTTTAATTTTGGCAAGAATTCATATTTGACACATTTTATAACATCCCATTTTGAAGGGCTTTAAAAATAAATACATTTTAAATCTTAATTAATAAAAAAGTTATTTACAGTTTTTAATTTTTTCAAACACAGATCAATCCCCCACCCTATCCATAAAATAAGACAGTTAGCTTTTAATTTTGTCAATGTTGGATATCGAGTTCGGTTGAAATCTGAAAAGAACGTAAATTTGAGGTCATTGCAAAGCCTAGGCTTAGCTGGGTAATCAGCACAAAAATTCCCAGCTCTGGTGTGCATAATTTATACTGTTCTAGAGAGTTTAATAGGAAACTATTTTTCTCTAAGTTTTTTAAGCTGAAGAACGAAAAAGAGTGCATTTAACTACCTTAGAAGATAAAATAAAACCTTTTTACTTTTCTTGACGAGAGGTTGACATTGTACTTAACATTTCTGTTTAACATCATGAAAATTGAGTTAAGCCAAGTGTTCTGTATTGTAAGCATGAGGTTCTAATGTTGTAATCACAAATTACATATAGTCAGGACAAGAAAGGTAAATATATTTATATACATTTGGTTAAAAGACGTGAAAACGTCTGAATCAATAATTGCGGAGAATGACCCAAATATTTTTTTCACATGTTAGAAATCCGCGAAAATATTCTTATTTTAATCGACTAAGAAAACATTCTTGCAGATTAATCCATCAAAAAAAGGGGGCGCAATTTATGCCCTCGTGTTTTTGTGCCTAATAATTTTCAATATTTCTATCTGTGTAATCCATGGTTGATGTCCAACTACCTTCTGCCGGAAACCAGCCATAAATCCTGGTTTTCCAACTTCATGAGCTGAATACTTAAGTTTATAAAGTACAAGAAGAGGGATATTCTCAAAATAAATCATATCTTGTCATTTTATAAAACTCATATCCATGCACAACAATTTTTGATTTACAATTGAATATAAAAATAAAAAGGACTTAATTATTTGTCACAACCATACCTAGCTAGGCCTTAGATTTTTAACTTTTAAATTCTACTACTATACAGTCCTAATGAGAAAGACCAGGAATTAAATTACAATAAATCAGACGATTTAACAATCTAATTTTAAAAATATGATTGATGAAATGATAATCACAAATTTCCATAGTCCTTCCATTTCCAAAATGTGGTCTGCCTTTTCTGAGCATTCAAAACTGCCAGATATATATATATGAATATTAGTAATGTCGCCTGATTATCTGTCAATTAATTCCGGGTTTTTCTGATTATGTCTGTAGTTAAATTTTACATGTTTTTGGGTCATGCCATGCTCAGAATGGGCAGCTATATAGTTGACTTAAAACTGGCACGTTTTATCATAACAAAAGGGACTGTAAGCAAAATTTGAAGTGACTTCCATGCCTGATTCACATCAAGAATTTAATCCCAAAAATATAAAAAATGTATAAATGTTGTCCAGGTTTATGCGTTGTCTGGTGCTGACCCTGCTCCCAAATGTTCTTGTCTATCTACGGCTTCTCTCTAACTCAAGCTCAATTCGGCTATCGCAGGTTGGACAAGTGGGAAAAGGGAAAAAAAATTTGTGGAAAAAATCTTATTTCAAACTTAAATGTACTGAGCTAGGAACTTTAGAATGGTGGTTATCGAGATCAATGCTTGATCCTCTCTTTTTCTTAATCTCGAGACTAACCTAATCTTAAGTACTGAAAAGTGTATAAAATTTTACAGAAGCCGATAATTTGAAATTTTGCGCGTCATTTAAGACTAATATATAGAAACGGAGGGGACTCTCTAATTTTGAAAACCCGGTTTTTTATTGTTATGTACTTAATCCAAAAAAAGAGTGGATTAGCAAGAAATTAAAAGTAACCCTGCAAAGATGGCAATGTCCTATTTCCAAAGGTACCCTTGAAAGCTCTGTCTGATCAAGTATGAATTAGATAGCAATGTTTTTGTTGATTTTAACTGTTTATTGCTTATTTACATTTGAAATTTCTATATAAAAGTGACTTGCGCATTTCTTACCCTTAAAAATGGAGAAATTATTAGTACAAAACTTTTTTCCATATTTCAGATTAAGATTTCAAGGGTACTGATGTAAATCGAGCATTCCTATTTTTGCATAGAGGGTCACTTCCTATCATACTTACAGTATCTTTAAGTTTAAACCTAAGAGTTGGGGAAAGGATCATGTATTATGTTCAGATTTTTCATAGACCAATTTTAAAACCATCCCATTTTAAATATTGAAATTGAAATATTGCAAGAAAAGTTTTGAAAGGATTGCAAAAAGTACAACGCTATAATACTGTGTTCTAATTTTTTACTAATATTATTGATATGCATCATATGATGCATGTTTAATGTTTATACTTACCAATTTTTTTAAATAACTTTCAAATATGTAAAATTAAATGCATGATTCTTCTTAAAAATATAGAACATGAAAACTTGTGTTTGCTGGTCATAATATGTTCCTAATCCTTGTAAAACAAACTGCCGTTAGAAGTTCGAACTTGTTGATACAGAGTTATTTCATACAACCAGAAGAAATACACACAACTTACACTGCACTAAAATATCAAAATAGTTTTTAAAGGGACTGTGAGCGTAATTTCAAATGCTTCTTGCAATGATGACAATGCCCGATTCACAACAGTACCATTGAAACCTTTCCGCAATCAATAACGTGGAAGAACTTTTCATTTTTCTAGGTTTTCATTGTTTAATTCTTATTGATAGTTTTTTTTCTGCAGTGACTTTTGTAGAGAAACCACAATTGAAAATAATCAGTTTTCAAAATCATAAAAATTGATATCTAATTCATACTTGATGTGACAAAGCTTCTAAGGGTACCTTTGTAAGTCAAGGATTCTCATCTTTGCATAAAAGTCCACAATACTCTAACATAGTTTAATTATATAATAAAAAGTGGTAAATAAGGAAAACAAAAAAGTCCAGAAAAAGAATGTTCCAAAGTTTTCAAAAAAACCTTTTTTTGCATTTTCATTGAAGCAAATTCTTTCATCAACCAAATTCGAGTCATGCTGATAAAAACTGAGAAATATGAAACAGAAAGCAGAAAACATTGCAGATATCAGTTTAAAATACTATAAAATAGGTTATGTCAAGTTTCAGTACTGTAAAGTTAATTCCCCAAAGAATATTTTTAAGAAGTGATTTTATTTTTAAGAATTTTTTATCTATTTAAGTAAGGTGTTTTATTTTGTTTAGAATATTGTTTATCTTGTTTAATTGTCTGAAAAAATTTGGTTTATTCTAATTCTTAAGAAGAGAGCATACATATTTGTTGTAAATTTAACATTAGTTTGAATTTATGTTCTGATAAGAATGCATATAAATTTCATCTATGTATACATTAACTGCTAGATTTTGCCAAAAAAAAATTTGGTATCTCAAATCAATACTTACAAAAAAAATTGCGAAATATTAAGCTTAAAGATGAAGAACGAATTTTTCGATGCATTAGTAAATAGATGATATTTCATAATAGTTCTTACTCGTTTCATATGATAAACAATATACTTTGAAGGACTTTTTTTAGCCACTAGGTGCCTCTGTTCTCAATGCTTCTGGAATTCGACGTGGCATAGACTGTAACGACACCTGTGACCTAGCGACAAACAAAATCGTTGCTTAAAGTACATCATGCATGAAACAAATAAAAAAAAAATTACGAAATATTAACTTTATACTAAAGTACCGAAAAATGATCGATGATGACAGGTTGTAATATCTGGATGATGTGTAAGGAATTAAATTGATTTGTTTACTATCCGAGCTAGAAGAATGTTGCAACTTTCTGACTTTGTATGGACGCTACGTTCTTCAGTATGAGTCGTTTTCAACAATTTTGTCCTTATTGACACAACAGATATAAGTAAGATTTGTAGCGATCACATTGATAATTTTTTGCCGTAAGCCTATACCCCCTCTCATGTTTCACGAACACTCCCTTAAAAAAACATATTTCGATTAGTCTTTTTTTTTACAAAAGAATAAAAAAATATCTTCATAATGATGTATTGTAATCAAAAGTTTAAAAACTCGGATAGAAAGAATAAAATCAATTTTTATAAACTTAAAAAATGTAGGGTGCCGGAAAGCACACACAATTTATGGCGTTCTCTTAAACGTGTGAAAATAGAAGTAGGTTTTCATATATCTTTTTATACGGTTTGGACCATATTGAATAAATTATGGACTATGCTTGATATATTATGGTCTGCTCTTAGGTATTTATAATGCATGGAAATGAACAACACATTATTCTCAACTTTTTTTAATTGTAAATTGTTGGGAAAAATAAAAGTAGGTTTCGATAACATAGTAAAATAGATTATGTTGCTTAATCATCGCAATCCAAAGTGCTCAAGTTAGCTATCAGGATTTTACTAACAAATACACTTTTTATAGGATTGAATAACATATCTATAGGGCTAACATGAAAGAGAAAGTGAATGAGTAGGAATGCCAAGGAGTTCACTTCAAAGTTGACCCGGTCTTTAGAAAATGCATACTTTTTTATAATTTGCTACAGTGTAGATATGATTGTAATGTATTTATAAACAACAGAGAACTGGGAAATATTCCGCGAAATGAACATACGTTTCTTAAATAAATAGAAAATATAGTCAACAAACATGATTGAATCTTAATTTGCAAGAGTATAAACGAAAGAACAAATTCAACGAAAGGAATTTAAAAAGTTGTTATTAATAGCTTAAATTGGCATTTTTGATATTTAAAACAAAACAAAAAATTATTTATTGGACCTCACTATAAATACGTTCTAGCAATTAGCAATGACCAGTTGGAATGTTTGGTTCCATGTCACTTTCAAATAAATATAATTTAAGCCATGTAGTGTCAATGATAAAGTGATAACCATAAAACTCTGGAATAGAAAGACGATTTTCAAACTAAAATTTTGACTTTAAATAGTCCAATAAAGAAAAAATAGATTTTTGAAAAATAGAATTTAAAATTTTCTTAGACTTACTCTCAGACTACCCATGGGTTCCCTCAAAAAATATCAGATAATTTGGTCCAGCCGTATGGCAAACTATAGCTAGCATATATATATATATGAGTGAAGAGCTTTATTATACATCAACTAGAAAACTATTTGCTTCGAAAAATGAAGTTCAGTATTGCTTGTATGTAGTACACACCTCTGCCTCTTTAGTAAAAGTAAATTCAGCCTATATGAAGCATAAAGTCTGACCGCGTCAACCTTGTTGCACCGGCTAGTCCTGTCCAGAGCTTGGTACAGTACAAACCGGGACCGGAAAGGTTGACCCGGCTCGGAAATTCAAATATACTACGGCAGCCCGTCGTAGTATTTTTTTTGTTCTATGTTTTTTCGAATTCATCTCAATATTTCTGTTTATATATCTTTCTTTTTTGACGCAACATTTTTCTATTTTTATGTATCGGAGTCATCTCAAAATATCTGTATAAATGTATCTACTATCTATATAATGTTTTTACTGGGAACATTCTGAACAAGATTAAAATAATATTGGCGAAATATTATCTCTGAAACGGGCTCAAAATTCCATAATTGACAAAAAGTGGCCAACCCCCCCCCCTTGACCCCCCTTAAACAAAATTCGTTGTGGATTGTTTGTTTCTTCTTTTTTGTATTCAGTGAAAAGATCAGATGTTTCGCACAAAAATAATTTTCATTTAAATATCATGTGTCAAAAGGAAGGTTTACGTTACAATATAATCATAAGCCACGTATACAGAAGAAAGCATAATATTAGAACGTTTACGCTTTCAAATTTAAAACTGAAATATTAAATTTTGAAATAATATTTTTTTTAATTGAATTAAAGGCACTGTAGACGTAATTTCACGAGCCTTTCATTTAAAGAGCGTCATGTCAAATTCACAACAATATCCGTTAAAGCTTTGACTGATGCAGAATAAATCAGAAATCCAATATTGGGTTCTCTGCTAAAGTTACTTGCGGATTTCTTGCTAAAGAAACAAATGAGATATGTTGTGAAAAAATTGATCACTTTAAAGCTAAGAATCATATTCCTAATCATTATTGAGCAGATAAAGAATTGAAGAGTGCTAATGTGAATCAAACATATTTCTCATTATTGAGCAGATAAAGAATTGAAGAGTGCTAATGTGAATCAAACATATTCCTCATTATTGAGCAGATAAAGAATTGAAGAGTGCTAATGTGAATCAAACATATTTCTCCTGAAATTAAGGCTCACCCATAACTTGAGTGTGAGCATAATTTCAAGTGAACCCCAATATGAAGATGACAATTTACTATTCACAACGGTACCCTTGAAACATCTTTCTTATCAATAATGTGGAAGATATTGTCGTTTTACTAAGTTTAAATGTATTTGATTATAATAATTTCTTTGTTTTCCTGCTTTAGAAATGTACAAGTCCTTTTTGTGGAGAAATCACAACTGAAAATAATCACAATCATAAACATTGGTTTCAAATTCATACTTAATAAACAATTGAATTTTTAAAAAACTTAAAAGTGTTCCGTTTTGAATTTCTAGTTGTATCTAATATGCTGGGTGTATTACTCTGGTTTGCTGGGTTGTTTTATCTACTAGAGAATACAGGAGACCTGTTTAATGAATATATATATATATGTTTAGCTTGTATCTAATATGCTGGGTGTATTGCTCTGGTTTGCTAGGTTGTTTTATCTACTAGAGAATAGAGGAGACTGGTATCATGAATATATATATATGTTTAGCTTGTATCTAATATGCTGGGTGTATTACTCTGGTTTGCTGGGTTGTTTTATCTACTAGAGAATACAGGAGACCTGTTTAATGAATATATATATGTTTAGCTTGTATCTAATATGCTGGGTGTATTACTCTGGTTTGCTGGGTTGTTTTATCTACTAGAGAATACAGGAGACTGGTATCATGAATATGCAAATGCCCGAGAGCCAGGCAATCTCAGGTAAAATCTAATTTAAAGGGACTGAGTACTTAATATCTAAAGGGACTGAGTACTATGTTTTTATTTTTAAGTCCTAGTAAGATTCCTTAATTGTTATAATCAAGCGCATTGTCCTCCATACATTGTCAGAATAAGGCCTGATGATGTAATCGATCTATCGACAATACTGGACACAGTTGGATCTTTCTTTCAGAGATATGCGAGGTTTACTTAGTCCTTCTATTTGCAGGGATTCTTTTATTCATTTCGTCCCAATCCAACTAATCATTGTGATATAGAACCTGAAAACTCTGAAATAGGAATAAGACTTCTCTAAACTAAAGTTATGCCTTTATATATATTCCAAAGGACATGAGATGATAATGAGACATTGCATTTTTACAGTGTCCCACAAAATCATTACAGTTGATAAAGAGATTTAATAAATTACTAGTAAGATCACTTGCTTTGTAACAACATCGAAGACACTTAAGTAATGCTTTAATGTCGTCTTCTTGATCCAAAGTTTTCTGATTCTCACTTTTTTCACTTATTCAGCAAATTGGTGATATTTATGCTTACAGTGATACATCAAATACTGGTTGGTGATTGCTATATATCCTATATATCATACATATATTTGATACTGGGTTGGTGTATACTACTTGGTGATAACTATATATCCCGTATATGTATATATTTAGATACTGGGATACTGTATACTACTTGGTGATAACTATATATCATATACATATATATTTTTAGATACTGGGATACTGTATACTGGTTGGTTATAACTGCATCGACTATTGGCTATGGAGATTACTACCCTGTAACTGATTTAGGAAAAATAACAATGGTGTTATACCTCTCAGGTCAGCATTTTTTTGGCACAATGTTTTTGTTATCGTCAAAAATACGTTCTTCAAAAATAAATTTCAAAAAAATAAAAAACATCTGCGAAAAGCAACTTATCCAAATCCTGCGTTAAATATTATGAGAAGTGAAAAAGCAAAAATAAGGCAGGAAGTGTCCAATACTGGCAGGTTTAAAAATAAGGCAGGAAGTTTCCAAAACTGGCAGGTTTAAAAATAAGGTAGGAAGTATCCAATACTGACAGGTTTAAAAATAAGGCAGGAAGTGTCCAATACTGGCAGGTTTAAAAATAAGGCAGGAAGTGTCCAATACTGGCAGGTTTAAAAATAAGGCAGGAAGTGTCCAATACTGGCAGGTTTTAAAATAAGGCAGGAAGTGTCCAGTACTGGCAGGCTTAAAAATAAGGCAGGAAGTGTCCAAAACTGGCAGGTTTAAAAATGCTTAATTTGAACTCATTACCGTCATACATTTTCTTCTTTGGGTGTGTTTTAATATTATAATGTATTTTTTTCCTTTTAGTTTCCATCATTATCTTTATAGTTTTTATCAAGAGCACGAGCACGGTACATAAATTACTTTTCTAGCAAAACCACCAAAATTGAAGCAAAAAGCACTTTTGTTTTTAAATATTTAAACCCCTTGATCTAATCTTGAAACTGTTCCAGAAACAAAATCTGATCTATATTTAATTATATTTGGCTGGTTTGTCTGTTTGTTTGTTGTATCCAGTAAACACTAACTTTCATGACCCTAGGGAAGGTTTATGTCCAAAAAAAATCTCGATTTTAGACATGCATCAATGTATACTGAAAAATCTGCGAAAATTTCACAATTTCGAAGAAAAAATGGATACTTAAAAGACACATTTCAACGCTAAAATTGTTACAGGAAAAGGGTCGCAAAGCGCCCTGAATAAAGTCATACTTGTTTTAAGAATGCATATTTGTTATTTGTTTCCGTATTGTGGTTTTTAAGTGTTATAAAATAAAACAACGATAAATATAATGGATACAAAGATAATAATTTACGCAAAAATTCCATCTCATCAGGAAATAATTTATTTTGTATATGTATATAAAGTAGTAATCTCTGTTTGTTTGTTTGTGTGGTCGATCATAACTCATGAACCTCTAAACCCTATCCCTGTTGGGGTACTTGAAAACAAGTATACACTGGGGGGGGGGCGTCAATTCGATCCCCCCTTCTAAATTCCATGTTTGATGTCCAAATATGACAAATGATGCATAATTGAAAGCTCTTATGTGCAAATTTCTTTTGACAGGTTGTTTGTAAGCAAATAATTTGCAAAAATTTCTTTACAAAACTTGTGCAATCCGTTTCCTTATGTTGTAGCCGTATGTTTTCCAAAAATTAAAAATACCAAAACCTGAAAATTGAAAGTGGGTCAAAACGAAGATTTAGTTTGTTACAGGAAAAGAGGGGTCAGGCAGTTAGTATAAAAGCCCGGTTTTAAACCTAAAGGGAGGGCTATAGGTATTTAGGAAAAGTCAGAAAAATTTCAACAGTCTCAGATCAATACTTTTTAGTTATGTAAAAAAAACTACATGGAGGGGATCAAATTCACACCCNAGAACTACTGGAATGTTCTTAGCTTGGTTTAAAAGGTGTAAGTTAAATAGGTTGACTCTTATAAAGGTTTGTTTCCAAAGGAATTGAGTCGAACTTTGCTACAAACATAAATTTTCCAACCTCTATATCTTGGGAACCTGATGATGGTGTTAAACTTTGATATTTCAAACTTGGAACTCCTTGATTCAACAGAATCCATATTTTGAGATATCTGAGGTCATGGTCTACGATATTAGGCTGCAAAGATATAGTGATTAGAAAATCAGAGTTTGTGGCAAAGATTTAAATCCTTCCGACACAAAATCTTATAATAAAACTAACCATGAACATTTCTTTTTAGGTGCAATTGCCTCCTTTGCTAGTAATCTACCTGAGATAGCGGAATTGGTTGGAAACCAACCTAAATATGCTGGAGCATTCGAGGTATTCACTATATACTTGTATACACTGTACTGCAAATAGATTATCAAGTACAATAGGTGACAACAGAGAAATGGATCAATTATACACGACGTCACAAGTGTCAAATTTAACAAAGAAAACGAAATTTTCTCAAATTATTTGACATGTTTTTCAAGATTAAATAAAAAAGTGTAAAAACAGAAAATAAATAAGGCATAAAATTGCACCTTTTTCACTGAAAGATAAACTCTTTATTCTAAAATTATCACAATTAGTAATAATTTTGTCGGACACAATACTGAGTTGACACTTTTGATGCAAGAATACAGCTGTGAGAGTGCACAAACACTACTTTGCCATCTATTGTACTCAACAATCTATTTGCACTGTACTGCATGTTTGTTCACTTAATAACAATTTTATAGAAAGATTATTTTGAAAAACAAATTTTATCCTTTTTTGTGTCGGGAGACCATAGAGGGGGGGGGTCACCCCCATCTAAATATTAGACTGCATGATGTTTGTATTTCAGTACATAGAATTAAAACTAACTACTGTATAAGATTAAAGTATCACCTCCCCCCCCCCACCCCACCCCCAAGGAACCAGTTTTGAAACCAGACGTCAGAGTAAATAGAAAAATAAAAGTTTCTAAAAAAAAATTCAAATTATTTTTTAAAGTTTAGATAATAATTTTCTCCACAAAAATTAAAACTCTCTTTATTTCTCATTTTACATTTACGAAATTATGAGTTTTCCTAATCCTGAACTATAAGAAGAGAACAAGTTTGAAAAACTTTCAAAACTTTTATAAAAATTAGATTGAAATTTAGTTTTTAAGGAAATTTGTTTTTTGTTTTCAGCAGGGAGCACTTGTTAAACCTTTTTAAATCCAACATTATCGTGCTTTCTCAAAGGGACTTAATTAATCTCATATTTCAAGAGGGGCAGATCTGATTCAAAATTGCACCCTTAAAACCTTCGACTAGTCAATATTGAGAAAAGCTTGAAAAGTGTTAATTCTCAAGATTTCCTCAATATTGTTTCTGAAGCAAGACATGTGCAATTCACTTTTACAGAAAACACAAATAAAATATAGACAGTTTTCAAAATCAAAAACATTGATATTTAATTCCTACTTAATTAGACAAAACTTTCAGGGGTACCATATTAAAAATATTCAAAAGACGGTATTGAATGTAAAACCCTAATATATTGTGTACAATTTCACAAAGCTTTTTAAAAATACCCAGAGAAGGGGACATGTCAGTTTAAAATGNGGGTTTATTCTGTCCTTGTTGTTTTTTTTATTAATTTTTATAATGTTTTGTGAATATTTTTAAGTTTATATTTTATAAGAAAATAACAATTAATAACTCACACAACACATTATCATATTTTTTATTTTCAGCAGGTAACGTTCATCCTTTCATCATAACATATCAGATACGTATCTGGGAAATTCAGTTTTTAATTTGCTTTCTGCAAAAAAATAATGCTTTGATATTTTTGAAGGGGAGGAGGGGGGGGGGTCCGTTCATTACAAAAAAGAAAATTCATAAATGTTAATGTAAGAGTATATTATCCCAGCGTACTAAAAGAAAGTTTTCTTCGAAATTTCCCCCCCAAAAAATTAGACATTTTTGCTTTCACAATCATCTATATATCTAATTTTAAACAGCTGGGAACTTTTAAATAAATGGATTAATTTTTTTTTTTTTTGCAAGAACTCCGAAAGTCTAAGTCTAAGGAAAAGTCTAAGGAAAAAATGTGGTTTACATTTTTGAACTCAATGAGCATCTCTGTAAATAACAGTTTTCCTATTAACTTCCTGACAAAATAGGTTTTCCAACCTAATATAATACTCATTTAAAGCGCTCAACTCCATTGCATTTAAAAGTTTTCAGCTAAGAGTAACGATTTATGATTTAATTCATGAATTCAATATTTGAAGTTTTGAGAAGAAATGGAGTCATTGTGGGATTTTTTTAATCTCCAAAACATGTTTCCATTAAAAACCCCCATTTTCTCAAGTTAACATATTTGCATATTTGCATACTTTAAATATTGAAAAGGAAAAACGCAATTCATGATTTAAAATTTTGTTTAAAAGATAAAGAGATAAATATTTATCGAATTTGATAAGGGACTTGTGCCTTTTTCCCACTTTTGAATTGTTGCTAAAAATGATGTTATGGGTGCGAATATTGGTTAGAGAGACAATTGTGTGTAATCTCAACTGATCCTCCATTAAAGTTGCAGAGATGGCATTTTTAATTAGCATTGGTACTTTTTTAAATATGATCATTGAAAGCAAAGAAATAGTACTTCTCTTGCAAACAATTGTTTGAAATCTGACAAAGCAGTTTAAAAAAATACTGAAATGAAATAAAAAATGTTTTTGTTGACTTTCGGTTTCTCAATAGGTTAGTTTTTAAATATGAACAACTTGCATACAAAGTTTTTAGCAATTGCAACGTTTCTGCGGATAAATCCTAGATCAGTCATAAACAAAGTTTGAATTGAAGTTACGTTAATTTTGTTTTGAATTTTTTAGCCATACTAACTATTTTTAATACTTGGTTTTTCTAAAATGGCATTGACATTTGATTCCCCTCCCCCCCTTCCCAATAGCACCCAAAAAGGGGATCCCCTGTATCCTAACAAATAAAATTTTTTCTTCTAGATGAACAACCAGCGGCAGTTTATCGTTGTCTGTGGGAATATCAACTACGACAGTGTTAAAAATTTTCTAAAAGATTTTTTTCATCCAGCCAGGTAGACTTTCTTTTACATGGTGTCCTACCAAGCATGAGAGACTATTTTTAAATTTAAATTCAATAGCTTTTTAATGACACGAAAGGAACACTAAAACATAAAGTAACTTTATACATAAACATAAACATAAACATAAACATAAACATAAACATAAACATAAACATAAACATAAACATAAACATAAACATAAACATAAACATAATCATAAACATAAACATAAACATAAACATAAACATAAATATAAACATAAACATAAACATAAACATAAACATGAACATGAACATGAACATGAACATGAACATGAACATAAACATAAACATAAATATAAACATATAAACATAAACGTAAACATAAACATAAACATAAACATAAACATGAACATGAACATGAACATAAATATAAACATATAAACATAAACATAAACATAAACAGCTTAAATAAGCAAAAATATTGCAGAACATTGTTGAATTATTAAAATCTGACCAAATACGTCAAGGGCACTTTATTTGGGAATCAAACTAGTGGTTTGTTGAATCAAAAACTTAAAAAATTCGTAAAAATATGGCATTTGTGTAGGATCATTCATAAGGGGTTTGATTAATAGAAACCATATACTTTCTTTAATAATTTCGTTATATCAAAGCATCCATAGCTCTCATTTTAATAAATGAAAACAGCAGACACATTCTTAACAATATCTAAAAATGCTGAAATTAAAGTTCAATTTGCTTTAACCTGTACTGACTTATTTCTACATTTTTAATAATTTATTTTAAATTAAATTTTACAATATTTTTAAATACTTATATGGAATCAGATGAAAATTTTTAGATATTTTTATATTTCTTCTTCTTTTTCTTATTGTTCATCTTTCATATATCTTTCAATCATATATCGGCTAGTTTAAAAAAAGGATGTTCTTGAAAATTGGCCATTTTTACAAGGAGGACTATTTTTTAAAATTATCTTGTTTTTCGTAAGTAATCTTTTCCTTTCAATTTTCTCTAATAGTTTTGGAATTATGTAAGTCGATTTGTTACGTCAAACTAAAGTAAATTATACGAAAGATCTAGTATCTAACTTTACATAGTTGTGATTAAAGTAAAATCACTATCTGATTTTACATAGTTGTGATTAAAGTAAAATCACTATCTGATTTTACATAGTTGTGATTAAAGTAAAATCAATATCTGATTTTACATAGTTGTGATTGAAGTAAAATTTAATATCTAACTTTACGTAGTAGTGATTAAAGTTAAATCTAATATCTAACTGATTTTACATAGTTGTGATTGAAGTAAAATTTAATATCTAACTTTACGTAGTAGTGATTAAAGTTAAATCTAATATCTAACTTTACATAGTTGTGATTAAAGTTAAATTTAATATCTAACTTTACATAGTTGTGATTAAGGTAAAATCAATATCTGATTTTACATAGTTGTGATTAAAGTAAAATCTAATATCTAACTTTACATAGATGTGATTAAAGTAAAATCTAGAAAAGCTACGAGGTCATTAAGTTGGGCCAGTAATATCTCATAAATTTGACCTTCTTCATCTGACTCGTCTAGTGCGATCTATCAATAATAGTATATTTTATGAAGGGAGGATGTAAACTGTGAAATAGTATTCTTGAACAAGAATGAACCGGATCTGGAATTTGAGGGACTTCTTAAAAGGGAGAAAACCAGGGTAACATATTTCCAGGTAAACTACAGCATATTGTCAGCCATTTTGTTTATCCAATATTTCCCGCAATTTCTAGTCAATTTCCCGCATTTCCAAACAAAAATATGAATTTAATCGCCCATAATTTTTTTATATTTAAAATTGTATTAATCAAGTTGACAACCGCACATTCTACATTAACAATTCCATCTGAAGAAGAATGTTTTAGCAAAATATATTTTGATTTTTAAATAGGTAATTATCAACATTTTGGTTAAATCAACACAATATGTTTTCTAATCATTTAAATGTTTCACCGTTTACGTGATATTAAAAGATTTCTTCTTAGTTAATTTAACATTGTGTTCCGCTCTATTTCTATCCGACATTTCTTATCTAACTGAATACATTTAATATTCATTGAATACTCGGTTTGAGATACCCATAGAGTTCCAATATCATGGAGGAGGGGGGGGGGGTGAATGAAAACAGAATTAAATTGCAAATTAAATTGAATATTGGAGTACAGGGTTGAAATGTAGTAATTTTATTGAAAAAGAATAAAATTTTACACAAAGAAGAAAACAGGCCTAATCAAAGATTGTTGTTTCCCATGTGACCTGCAGCATGTTAAGTATTCTAATATTTGTATTCAGGGTACAATGTTGAACCCATATGACCTGCAACATGTCAAGTATTCTAATATTTGTATTCAGGGAACAATGTTGAACCCATATGACCTGCAACATGTCAAGTATTCTAATATTTGTATTCAGGGAACTATGTTGAACCCATATAACCTGCAACATGTCAAGTATTCTAATATTTGTATTCATGGAACTTTGTTGAACCCATATGACTTGCAACATGTCAAGTATTCTAATATTTGTATTCAGGGAACAATGTTTAACCCATATGACCTGCAACATGTCAAGTATTCTAATATTTGTATTCAAGGAACAATGTTGAACCCATATGACCTGCAACATGTCAAGTATTCTAATATTTGTATTTAGGGAACTATGTTAAGCCCATATGACCTGCAACATGTCAAGTATTCTAATATTTGTATTCAGGGAACCTGCAGCATGTTAAGTATTCTAATATTTGTATTCAGGGAACAATGTTGAACCCATATGACCTGCAACATGTCAAGTATTCTAATATTTGTATTCAGGGAACTATGTTGAACCCCTATGACCTGCAACGTGTTGCTGTTGACCGCGCTTCTGCGGTTCTTGTTTTATGTAATAAATTCTCACCCGATCCAAGTAAGCAATGAACTATTCATGATCATAATATTATAAAGACCCATTTAATTTGATTGATAGAATTTGAAACTACTGGTATAATTATATGGCAACATCAAATTTATTTATTTCACATTGTATCTATATAATTTATACATAAACTGAACCTCTTAATCAATTTATTTATTTCACATTATATCTATATAATATATACATAAACTAAATCTCTTTAACAATTTGCCACAATTTTGATTGTTGTACTATACGTGACAGAGCTCTTTGGGCCTTCCCAGCTTGGTTTAAAATTCCAAGCTTTGAAGGTTCACTTTCATAGGCAAAAACTAGTTTACAAGCAAAACAGGGTTCCCAAGTTAAAACAATATATTGTATAATTTAAACAATTGTGGAAATTTTCAACATGACAGGTTAATATTAAAATGAGCAATAAATTCTAATTTCATATTTCATGTTTACTTAGTTAATTTCAAATTAAACCCAGCCCACAGAAAAAATGTATAAAAATTTTATTAATAATTCAATTTATCGACCTAAATTTTCATGTCAATTTATAAACTCTGTAAAATGTTTTTGAAAAATTCCCAATACAAATATTATATATTAATATTGAATTCAACCGAATTATCTAAACTTTCCTAATTAAAACTTTACAAGTTCATAATTTTGATTTTGTAATTTGGTTCTTCAGAAAATTATTTTGAGAAATAATTCGGTTCACTTTTTTATTATATGAAGTGGCTTTTCTTGGCTTAATATTAGACCTTTCAAAGAAAATAGAAAGTCGTTCATTTATTATATTTAGTAAAATTGACGCTTTTTTAAGAATGAACAGTGAACATTATAAGTTATAAAAATAACCATTATAATTATTAGATCAAGTAAAAATAGTGTAAGCATGGAGAGAGGCTTATCTTTAAATAAAGAGTTATAGTCAACTATAGCAGTGGGTCGGATGATAAGTTGCCTCGTGTATAATATATTGGGATATGTATACGTTCAAGAATGTAATGCAAGGAAAGTTAATTGCTGTTGCGTATTCTCTGCGTACATATTAAAACCAGTTCTCTTTGGGCGGAATTTGTAAACAAGAATATGCATCAGTGTTCGTTTAGTGTCCGTGGAAGGTAAAAGCATTAAATTTTGATAATTTTGATAATTCACATAATAGTTTCCTATGACCAGAATATTTCATTGATTTTGTTATGTGGAAGATGGATCCCATGTCAGGCTTCGACATCCGTCTTGTGTTTACATTACCGCCCAGAGACAGTACACAAAACTTGTGCAATTCGTTTCCTTATGTCAAAGGCTTTCCAAAAAGCTAAATTTAATCAAAATCTGACAAGTGAAAGTGGGTCAAAACAAAGATTTAGTTTGTTACAGGCAAAGGCAGTCATTCAGGCAGTTAGTATTAAAGCCTGGTTTTAGGCCTAAAGGGAGGGCTTTGGGTATGTAAGAAAAGTCAGAAAATTTCAACAGCCTCAATACTGTTTGAGTTATGTAAAAAAAACTACAGGGTCAAATTGACCCCCCCCCAGCAGGAATAGGGTTAACGCATGGAAAACCAAGCCACCGTTGACACCAAAGTTCTATTTGAATTCAAGCCAATTGGCTTGCCCCACGGAAAACGAGAAAATAGGCCGAAATAGGGATAGAAGTTATGACGAACTGAAACGAGGAGGTTCAAACCATCAAACCGCCTCAGAGAGTCTGTATAAAAGCTCCAGCTTTCTTTAACTCATTAGTATCAAAAATTATTTGTTCTTTTTTATAATGTAAATATATTTTTCCTTTACTCTGTAGACTTATTCACATCAGTTTCAGGCCCTCCATTTTCTTTTTTTTGAACACTTTTAAATGGTAACAATAGGTTCTATTTTTATCAGTTTAAATCAGTCAAGTAATTTTTCCAAAATTAGAAAATTAATTTTAGGAAAACAAACAGTCGTCGTATAACTTAATACAAACAAAAAGCTACTTTTTATTTTAATTTTTAAAAGCGTTTAAACTGCAGAAATACAAATATTCTAACAAATGTCTTTCAGAAGCTTCTCAATAAGTTCACATTGTAAACTTGTAATTTGAAAAATTCTTGTTCGAGAATAATTATAAAATGACGCCTTATTGTATTGATATAATTGCTGACCATTGTAAGAAAGAATGTTACCGCCGGAATTGTGTAGCAAGTTTTAGAATATAATTTTAATGTTCTTTATTAATGAATATCAATGCTATTTTCAGCTTGGGAAGACGCAGCTAATATTATGCGGGTGATATCTTTGAAGAATTATTGTGAAAATACCCGGGTCATAATACAGCTTCTGCATTATTCAAGCAAGGTAATAAAGTAATATTATCATACCCGGGTTATAATACAGCTTCTACATTATTCAATCAATGTAATAAAGTAAAATTATCATACCCGGGTTATAATGCTGCTTCTACATTATTCAAGCAAGGTAATAAAGTAATATTATCATACCCGGGTTATAATGCAGCTTCTACATATTCAAGCAAGCTAATAAAGTAAAATTATCATACCCGGGTTATAATACATTATCTACATAATTCAAGCAAGGTAATAAAGTAATATTATCATACCCGGGTTATAATACAGTTTTTACATTATTCAAGCAGGGTAATAAAATAATATCATCATACCCGGGTTATAATACATCTTCTACATTATTCAAGCAAGGTAATAAAGTAATATTATCATACCCGGGTTATAATACATCTTCTACATTATTCAAGCAAGGTAATAAAGTAATATTATCATACCCGGGTTATAATACATCTTCTACATTATTCAAGCAAGGTAATAAAGTAATATTATCATACCCGGGTTATAATACATCTTCTACATTATTCAAGCAAGGTAATCAAATAATATTATTATACCCGGGTTATAATACAGCTTCTACATTATTCAAGTACCCCAGCAGAGATAGGGTTAAAGGAACTGAGTTCTTTCAAGAAACTCTTGTTTTTAAACTTTTATATCTGTGCAAACCCGATGTTGTAGACCTTTGATATTTCGAACTATGAATTCTGTTGGATCAAATAGTCTAAGTTTGAAATATCAAAGGTCTACTTCATCGAGTTGTAAAGATTTTGGAATTAGACAAGTTAAGTTTGTAGCAAAAACTCAGTTCCTTAATAGATTTCTTCGTAGATTATACAATTTTCACATTTCAGATTGAAATATATTTTTTTTAACTACGTATATATAAAGTCATTTTGAAATCAACAAAATAAATATTACACCATGTGTACAGTGTACATCAGAAGAGTACCCAAACCCTTTTCAAATTAACAACACATCCCTTTAGAATTATAAACTCTTGAAAGTACAAATTGTTAAGAATTCTTCTGTATAAATTTCTGGTTAAAAAGAAATCTTAAATATATTTATTTATTCATGTTATTCATACAATGTAGAACTATATCTAGTTGAGGTCTGAATGAATCTTCTTGAAATTTTATAATTTATACAATGGATATAAGGAAGACAAAAGGGATAACATATTTTTCAAACGAACTTTCTTCAAGTGCTTACTAACTCAAAATTTTTACCACCAATTCAAAGTTTAACCAAAAAAAATTCTTCAAAATTTTGAGATTTAGTTTGAAATTAAATTTTCGATTACCCTGTCACAAATAGTGTTTCTCTGTTATGATTTAAAACGCCTAATACTAAAATGCTTAAGCTTCACAACTTTTTCAATTTCATAGTTAGTTTTGAACAGATATTGAAAAATACGACTGGTCGGTGTTTAATAAAAATCAAAAGTAGTTAAAAACTTTTTTATTGATTAATTGCAACAGATATAAAATCTATTTATTTGAAAAGCTTTTAAAAAAATGGATGTTATAACCTGTGTCACATGTCAACATTCTCCGACCATACGCGTACGTTTAAAACTTGTAACAACCTACTTTCTGTGCAACCACAATCAACAACTTCTTAATTATTTCAATGTCATAAAAAACTGAGTTGAGAAATTACTTTCTTACTTTCACAAGTCTTTGCTTAACAGTCAACAACGCACATTGATTCAAAGGTTGCAAGCTCTAATGCAAAAATTATGAAAATTAATATTTCCAAATAGATTTATTGAAAGAATTAAGACAAAACCTTTTTCTCGAATGATTTATAAACTAATTAATTGATAAAAGATCTGTTAAAAACATTAATTATTTAACACATGATATATAAGAAGTAAAAATCAATGGATTGATTGATTGTTACAATATAAGTATATAAAATTGATTTATCAATGGATTGATTGATTTATAAAGATTTATGCAATAATGATTAATTATTTAATTAATTAGTCAATTATTTAATTGATCGATAAATAATTTAATTGATTAATTAATTAGGCGTTCTTGTTAAATATCCCTGGTTGGGATTGGAGGCGAGATGATCAAGCAGTTTGCTTGAACGAAGTCAAATTTGGCCTTCTTGCACAGGTATAAAGATATATAGATGAACAGATAGATATAGATAGTTAGATAATGTAATACGGCTGCCCGTGAATGATACATAACAGAAACTAATAACTGAATAAGATTACTTATTTTCGATGATAATAGTTAATTTTTATTTCTAGACCTGTTCCTATACAACTGATTATTAATACTTTTTTCGTCGTCATTGTTGAAAAAAATTTTAAAAACGGATTCTCAAAATCAACCCTTAAAGGGAGTGTTCGCGAAAAATGAAAGGGGGTATAAGCTTAATGCGATAAAAAAGCGCTTTCGATCGCTTCTTATCTTACTTCTATCTGTTGCGTCTGTAAGGAGAAAATTGTTAAAAACGACTAATACCGAAGAACGTAGTATCCTTACAAATTCAGAAAGATGCTACATACGACTTAGTCCGTAAAAAATCTATTTAATTTCAAACAAATCATTCAGATATTACACCCTATGGTCATCGATTATCTTTCGCCAAATTTGTATATAGTTGATTTTTCATAATATGTTTTGATTTTAATTTTTAAAATAACATTTAGCTTCCAACTTGTTTTCGAACATTCCTGGAAAATATGAAAATGTCGTCTTCATTTCCAAAAATCCTCGAAACAGGAATAAATGTTTTTATAAGTAACTCTCAGATCATAACAATTAAAACATATTATATATAAATAAAGATAATCGATAACTATAGGTTGTAATATCTGAATGATTTGTTTGAAATTAAATTGATTTTTTACAGTCTAAGTTGTATGTTGCAATTTTCTGAATTTGTATGGGCGCCATGTTATTCGGTATGAGACGTCTTCAACAATTTTATCCTTATAGACGCAACAGATAGAAGTAAGATTAGAAGCGATCAAAAGCACTTTTTTATCGCATTAAGCCTATACCCCCTTTCATTTTTCGCGAACACTCCCTTTAAAAAAGAACAATCTATGAGGATATCAAAGATTGATTTTCCACAGAACTGCATTCTCAGTTTAACTAACATTCATTGCCGGTCAGTCCCTTTAAATATCGTCTTCTTATTCCACTATTTTATGGATCTAACTGTACCTAGTAGAGATAATGAAGTTAGAGACAGTAACTGATCTGTTACAATTAGATAAAGTATTCTCCATCAAACCATTACAACAACTTTTTCAAACATATCAAGAACAAAACATTAGAGAAAACTTTAAATTCAGCTTGAAATAAAATCTAATTGAAAAACAATTGTATAACATGAAGTCAACACTTGTACGTTGGATATTCATTGGTGGTAATATCCTGCAGGAATAAATATCCAGTGGTGGTAATATCCTGCAGAATAAATATCCAGTGGTGGTAATATCCTGCAGGAATAAATATCCAGTGGTGGTAATATCCTGCAGGAATAAGTATCCAGTGGTGGTAATATCCTGCAGGAATAAATATCCAGTGGTGGTAATATCCTGCAGGAATAAATATCCAGTGGTGGTAATATCCTTATCCAGTGGTGGTAATATCCTGCAGGAATAAATATCCAGTGGTGGTAATATCCTGCAGGAGTAACTTGAATTAGAGAATTAAGCTTTAATCCTCAATTTTAAAAGTCCCAAACTGAATATCGAGGTCAAGTGTTTAAGATTAACGATAGTTCGTAAAAAGTTCTGATCTCTGTAGTCTGTACACCGTAAAAATGTATGTAAAAATGTATCTTAACTTTTCTATCAAAACTCAAAGTATAATTTTTAAAGATCTCCTTTACAATTATTCTGAACAGCACTATTTCAAAAAACCTGAGTTTAAATGCAATTTCCTTGTGTTAGTCTTTAAAAAAATGCTTAATTTTAGAAAACATGTTGCATAAAAAATATTTGAAAAAGAAAAAAAAAATTGTTGTTAAGCTGGATAAAAGAAGATAACTTATTTTTTGATCCATATATCTTGACAGCCCAATGTCGTAGACGTTAGATATTTAAAACTATAAATGCTATTAAATAATAAAGTCTAAATTGGTAATATAAAAAAGTTACACTATCAGGTTGCAAATATATAGAGATCAGATGGAAAGTGAAATTTGGCTTTGGTTGTGGTACAGAATCTTGCCTGATTTTGAAGTAAGTTTTTGTTTAGTCCTGTCTAGCCCCAGGATTCTTTACTCTGGCTTCAAATATTATCATGACGACCGGACATCTCAGAGCACAACCGGAAATGGCCAGGTACTGTTATTGCGTATGTACACCCTAATGTACAGTACAGTTGTATATCTAGAGAAAAAATCTAATTTAAGGAAAAAAGGTGAGTTATGAATAAAATTTTTGAAACAAAACAAAAAAGGTATCTTATTCTTCTTTTATTCAACATTTATAATTTTTGACATTGATTAACTAATTATATAAAATATTAATGCTGTGCTTTAAAAAAAAGGAGAAACATCTTTCCAATTACTTTATCTCCCCAGTTATACCTTAAACATTAAAGTAAGAGTCTAATCAATCCAATCCCTCCCCCCACATCCTTTTATATTAAAAAAATTAATCGGGATAGAGTTAAGTCAAGAAGTTTTAAAGTTAAAATTAAGAATGTAAAAAAATTGAATGCAGGGGCGCCAAAAGACCCCCCCCCCTTTGCTTTAAGAGGTTCACTAAATATTGTGCGGTTTTCCGTTATTTCACATTGTTTTGATAAAAAGAAATCTATTTTACCAAATATCTCCAAACAATTTTGTAAATTGTGGCTATCTATCTATCTCTCTATCTATCTTTATATCTATCTATCTATCTATCTATCTATCTATCTATCTATCTATCTATATATCTATCTATCTATCTATCTATCTATCTATCTATCTATCTATCTATCTATCTATCTAAGAACCTCATCAAATAAAACAATAAGAGGAAAATAACACTATTAAAGAACAATGTCCAGTGAACACAATATCATTGTGGTGGAAGTTTTAACAATTGTTCATACTTGTTCATAAACGTAAACGTAATTACAGAATACTTAAAGGACTGTAAAGAAAACGTAATTACAGAATACTTAAAGGACTGTAAAGTAAACGTAATTACAGAATACTTAAAGGACTTTAGAGTAAACATAATCACAGAATACTTAAAGGACTGTAAAGTAAACGTAATTACAGAATACTTAAAGGGTTGTAGAATAAACGTAATTACAGAATACTTAAAGGACTGTAAAGTAAACGTAATTACAGAATACTTAAAGGATTGTAAAGTAAATGTAATTACAGAATACTTAAAGGACTGTAGAGTAAACGTAGTTACAGAATACTTAAAGGATTGTAAAGTAAATGTAATTACAGAATACTTAAAGGACTGT